CGGTGCTGTGCAGCCTGCTCTGGGTGACCCTGCTTGGGCAGGGGGTTGGACTGGGTGACCCACAGAGGTCCCTTTCAACCCCAACCATTCTGTGATTGTGAAAATCCAGATTACTATAACCAAATGGGACTGACAAATTCATTGGTTTTCTTAGGTTTTTTTTTGTTTTGTTTTGTTTTTAAGCAGGAGCTGTCTGTAACATGTTGACCTCCACGGATTACAGACGTCAACTAACAATAAACAAAACAAGGCAAAAAATATGTTTCCACTAAATTCAGCATTACTCCTGACATCCCACTGAGGCCCCAGCGCAGTGTGCCTTTACCTGCAGCGTAAGCTTCACGAACGGCCGCAAGGACCTGTTCTCAGCATCCCTTTCTGGAGCCGCCAGCTGAATCACGTTGCTGTGCTGCTGCTCTTGCCAGTTCTTCTCTCGGAGTGGCTCTCTCCAAGGCTTTGTGCTGGTCCATGGTTCAAACCAAGACGGACCAGGACCAGAAAAAGCATTGGAATGGTTTTCTTTCCTAGATTCAGATTTGAAGTCTTCTGCTTGGACAAACCATGAAATTCCTGCTAAAAGGCCACAGAAGAGAAGAAAGGTCTGTAGACAACATACACGTCTATTTTCCATCCCCATCTCTGGCCCTTCATGTCCAAGGTCCCAGCTGAACACAGTCAGTGGCCTAACACTGCAATAAATACTTCAGCTTAGCAACAGTGGGACTCTGTATCAGACACCCTTGGCAGTTCCAATCGAATTCCTTCGCCAAGTGTCAGAAAACCAGCAAGTCTTTATCAAACAACACTTTTGCAAAAACACAACATGGCTTCGTTTGCAAGCTTCGCTTTTTATGGAAAGAACGGTTCTTTATTGGCAATTGCACATTTTTAAGAAGCCTCTGCGCTGTCCTAAGCCGTATGATTTTTTTACAGATATTTTTGACGAGCAAATACTTCACATCTAAATGTTAAATGTCTATACAAGAATTAGACTACTCACAGTTTACAAACATCACAGGATTTGAATGCATCAGCTAGTACTCTGAAGCGATATTCTAAATTTTCTAAATTAGACTGGTACAAGAGAGAATGATTTGTCCCTACAACTACAACAACGATGACTAAGGAAAATATATTTAAACATTTAATCACGAGATTGTGAAGACTGACAAGAAATTTTAAAAACAGTCAGGAGGCTACACCATCAGCTAAGAGGGAGACAAAGTCTAGTTCTTCTTTCTGGTACTACAATCTTCCCTCAAGTGCTCCTGAAAAAAATACTTGCTCTTTGAAGCCTCAGCACATGAAACAGTAAGTACAACTGACTGTAACCAGCTAAACAGAGCTTAACAGAACCTTTTATACCTTGAAAATCAAAATTAAGTATCTACATGATTCCAAACTCATTCATCTTTCCTTGCTTTATTCATTGCTTTCTATTCATCACCTTTACTGGCTTGGTTGCATCTAACAGCTCGACTGAAAATGCCAGCGTAACAGAGCACCAGAGCTCCCTTGAAATTGTGGTTTTGTTTAAAATTCATTAATTAAAACCAGAATAAGACTGTAACAGTGACAGAGACTACTCTGTGTCCTAGCTAATCCTCCTTGCCTATGTTGCTGGTTGCTGTTGAGATGTACAGCTTTTCTGGTCTGAGGAGAAAGCGCATTTTGGACTGACCTTGTGGTAAATGCAGCCTGCTCCTTTTCATCCTTCTCTCCATGAAAAAATTGCCTGGCTGTCCCGTCTGCTCACCCTTGCTTCCTGCTGCCTGATGATCTGTGACCACACCATCTGACTCTCCACAAATACCATCAGCACAGTGCCAGGGTTCCTGTGGCCGTTGATGTGGCTGGCTAGATCTTGGGGTAGGAAAAGTCACACCAACATCTCGAGTGTTTTTCTTGGTTGCACTGTTCACAATCTCCAAGTCTCCTGTAGTTGAAAATGAAGCAGTAACATCTTATTTCAAAGCACCCGGAAGTACTTCAACATTAGCATGCGTGACCTAGTTCTGGGGGTGACCCTCAATTTTCACTTTGAAGCTAAAGGATCACTTTCTCTATCCCACCTTCAAAATGTAAATATCTTCTCTATTCCCACTTCCAACTCAAGAATAGTTCACAGTGAGAATTACAGTGGGTCAGGATTATTACTATATGATAATCTGAGTAAAATTAAAGTGGTGTAAACCAAATATCACAAGCAAAACAAGCGTGTGTGTGTGTGTGTGTTCTGGTCCTCTGCTCTGCCCTGGTGAGATCCCCCACAGGCGTCCTGTGTCCAGCTCAGGGGCCCTCATCACAGGACAGAGCTGGAGCTGTGGGAGTGGGGCCAGAGGAGGCCCCAGCAATGATGCGAGGGCTGGAACCCCTCTGCTGGGAGGAAAGGCTGGGAGAGCTGGGGCTGCTCAGCCTGGGGAGGAGAAGGACAAGGGGAGACCTTAGAGCAGCTGCCAGTGCCTGGAGGGGCTGCGAGAGAGCTGGAGCGGGGCTGGGACAAGGGCAGGGGGGGGAGGGGAAAGA